GTGAGGAATTTCTCAAAAGTCTGCACTTTGGGCTCAAAATGGACGTGAACTGAGTGCTGAAAGCCAGAGGAATAATTTAAAAATATATATATGTATGCATATATATGTACACATGTACATATTATGTAAATTGTATACATAATGTCCTTAACAAAGAAGAAAACATAACGAGCCTTGATCTCCCTGACAAGATAATCCCTAATGATAGGAAAGCTAAAAGGCATTCATTCATCCATCCATCCATCCGTATATGTCTATGAAGGTTTTCTCACACCGGGCATGGGGCTAGGCACCAAGGGTGTAGCGCCAAACAGGTCAAAGTCCCTGCTCTCCTGGGAAACACACGTTAGTGTCTAGAGCAGCACCCTCCCATGGCCCTTTCCACGGTGATGGAATATTCTAGACCTGTGCAGTCCGACATGGTGGTTGCCGGTTCTCGACCACGTAAAACGTGGTTGGTGTGTCCGATGAACCAAATTTTTACTTTTAATGAAAGTTGGAATTCGAATAGCCACATGTGGCTCGTGGTTACCAGCCAGGGCGGCCCTGACGGGGGGGCGGGGTGCAGGGAACCTACAGCTAACGTGGCTTCGGCCGGCCCGCCAGCTGCAGGCAAGGAGCCTCGCAGGAAGAGAAAGGAAATGCATCTCTTCCAAAGGAATAAATAAACACGGCCTCTTTCCCCAGCCGGCCCTGGAAGGCCGTTCTCTAAGCCCACTCACGTAGGAGGAGCCAAAAAGGACCCATCAAGCCCCCTTTCCCTAAAGAAAGCATGATTTTTATTTCTTGCAGACCAATGAAACCATGTGGAACACCTCATGGCTTCTTTCCGCCAGTAATGAAATCTCACCTCTGAGCGCCAATGCCTGGCCCACAGAACGCCTGCCTCCAACCAGCCTGAATTCATTCATTCAGTTTATTAAGTGCCCGTTGTATGTCAGGTGTAGCTCTGGACCCTGCGGTACAGCCGTGAACCAGACGAGGCCTGTTCCTTTAGAGGACTTAAATTCCAGCAAGGGGACACAGACGATAAGCTTAATAACCAAGAACATTTTATAGAGTGAATGAGTTTGGGAGATCCGGGGATGGGAGTCGGGGAGGCTACAGTTGGCAATATTAAATAGGGAAGGTGTCTTTTGAGCGAGCTCTTGAGGGACGGGAGGGAGCGAGCCAGGTGGCTATCTGGGAGAAAAAGGCTCCGGCAGCGGGAACAGCCGTGCAAAGGCCCTGAGGCAGGAGTGTGCTGGGGCCATCCAGGAGCTGGACGAAGGCCAGTGTGGCTGGAGGGGGCTTCGTGTGGGAGATGTGTCAGGGAGGTGAGAACAGGGGGGTAAGGAACGATGCGGGGGTGTCGGGTGGCACAGGGCCTTGTAGCTCAAGGTAGCTGGTCACTCCAAGTGACCTGTGATGTGCGGAGCGGTGGGGGGAGGGTCGTGAGCCGAGGACGGATGGGAACGGACTCAAATGCTAAGGTCTCTCTGGCGACAGGGCAGAATAAACAGGACAAGTGCAGGGTATTTTATTTTCCCCAAATCTACGCCTAAACACAGCTTTGTGGGACATGGCCGAGTTTTACCAGAGGCTTAGACACAATGTGGGGTTAGGGAGCAGGCGGGGGACTGGGGCGTTATGCTCCGGATCGACTGAGCACGTGATTGGAAGTGAAGACTCTGAAGTCCCCTCATCCCGAAGGCCCCTCACGGCTTCTCACCACTGGAAGCCTCAGCTTGGGGCGCTCTCTAAAATGCTTCTCGGGGCTCTCCCCACCGTACCCCTCCTTTGTGTGCCCCAGCGACCCCGGAGACCCTTCTTCCATCATCCGCTCCTCCCTGGCACCCCCATCTCTCTTTTCCAGCCTGATTAAACTGGTAGAGAAATTCAGACTTTGCCTACAAGTCGGCAGAGCCTGCAGGCGGTTGTGGCATTTCTTGCGTGTGTATATATGTATGTATATATATATATACACATACACATGGTGGAAAGTCTAGTTGCACACACACACACATATATATATGTGTATATATATATATAGTTTCCAGATGCCAGCTGGGACAGCCCTGCCCGTCAGGTCCTATATACAATTAATTTGAACGCCATTTTCCATTCTCCACCTACAGGATAGTGAATGCCCTCCCCACCCCAGTTTCTACTCATTCTCGGGAGCTTGACTTTAACCCACCCGCATGTTTCTGCTTTCGCTGGATCCATTCAATGTGGGGGATCCTCTTTGTGTGCCTCCCCACTGCGGGGGGGTGCATGGACTAATCCTGTCCTTTTCCTTAATTTCTCTGCAACCAAGCACGTGCCCGAGGTATTCTTTATTTATTTATTTATTTATTTATTTCAAATTTTTATAAGATTTTATTTCAGTCAAACTGATGACATTGCCAGGAAGTGAGATCTCAAATGCTCCCCCAAGGTATTCTTTAGGAGTGTGTGTGCGTGAGTGTGGGCAGTGCTTTACCGAAGGTTTGGGGACACAGAGGTATTTACCTCAAAAGACAGATAACTCAAAACTCTAGGTGACATAGTCTCGCCTAGAAGGCCCTTTGCTTTCTGTGCCACCCAGCGCCCAGCCACATGCCTTGACCTCTCTTGCTCGATCTGCACTATCTAGCACTATTTAAATTAGTTAAAATTAAAATTCCATTCCTGTGTTACACTGGCACATTTCAAGAGCTCAAGAGTCACCTGTGGCTGGTGGCTGTCAGAGCCACACGTGGCTGGTGGCTGCCGTGTTGGATGGTGCAGATGAAACGTTTTCATGATTGCGGAATGTTCTTTTGGACAGTGCTGGACTTGACAAAGACAGGTACCTCCCTCTAAGAGCAAGTCTGGTGTCTGGTGTCTGTAGTTAAGATGACCAAAGTTTCAGCCCATAAAGATGTCATTTAAAAAAATGCACATGGAGCTATACACTATATGAGATTCTGGGACTAATTTTTTTTTTTTCTCACTCATACACTCTGGACATCTTCACATGTCAGACGTCAACATTTATCTTAATTTATAGAACAGTTACACAGTGTTCCGAGGTATGGATTCATTTATTCACTCATTCTTTTATTCTGCAAATATTTACGACCACCCTGTCTGGGCGGGAGCGTGTCACAGCCTAGAACATGGCTGACTCAGACCGTGCCCTCAAGGGGCTCAGAGTCCAGTGGGAGAGACTGAGATGAATCAGATCATCACAGTAACGAATGTACAGTGGCAGCGGTCGTGAAGGAAGTGACACGCGGTCAGCGAGAGCCACCGTGCTCCATCTGTGAGGACAGAGTCCAAATCCCTGCCTATCTTCCCACCAAGTTCTAGAAATTAGGGCCTTGTGGGAGAATGGGAGCAAATTAAGATGGTGTGTCTGGGCCTGCGTTTCACCGTCTGAACAAGGGAGATGAGAGTTCCTACCTCAGAGGGACCTGGCAGGATTCATGAGTCACTACAGTGGATAGACACTGCCTGGCACATATAAGTGCCCTCAGTGGCATAATTGTTGGATGATTCCCTTTCTGAGCCTCGGTCCCTTGTAAAATGGAGGAGTACATAGGACAACTTTAGGGGACCCCAGTGAGGATTAAAGAAGTAATTATTTCATTAACAATCACATTTAACATTTCTCCAGCCATCTCTCGGCACCAAGTGCTATCTGACCTTTGCAACGACCTGGAGCTGTTACCCCTTTTTACAGATGTTGAAACTTGAGGCACAGTGGCTCGCTCAAGAGGTCGCCACTCGGTAGTAACTGGAGCAGTGGCAAGTTAGGGGTGACAGGGCTTCTGGGCTGGGCCATGAGGGCATCTGGGTGGGACTGACCCTGCCCTTCATGCCCCCGGCCCCCAGGAAGCTGGACGCCTTCATCTACGATGCGGCTGTGCTCAACTACATGGCCCGCAAGGATGAGGGCTGCAAGCTCGTCACCATCGGCTCCGGCAAGGTCTTTGCCACCACGGGCTATGGCATCGCCCTGCACAAGGGCTCCCGCTGGAAGCGGCCCATCGACCTGGCGCTGCTGCAGTTCCTGGGGGATGGTGCGGCTGCGCGCAGAAGTGTTGGACTGGAGCGGGGGTGGGGAGGCGTTGGGTCCCAGAAAAGGAGGGGATGAAGACGGGGACACCAGGGTCTGGTGGAGGAGGTGGCTAGGGCCTATCTAGAGTAGACTCCTATATCAGAGAGGCGGGTCCTCAATGGATGCCCGCGGAAGGTGACCTCTGACCACCCCCTCCTTTCCCCAGATGAGATCGAGATGCTGGAGCGGCTGTGGCTCTCCGGGATCTGCCACAATGACAAAATCGAGGTGATGAGCAGCAAGCTGGACATCGACAACATGGCAGGTGTCTTCTACATGCTCCTGGTGGCCATGGGCCTCTCCCTGCTGGTCTTCGCCTGGGAGCATCTGGTGTACTGGCGCCTGCGGCACTGCCTGGGGCCCACGCACCGCATGGACTTCCTACTGGCCTTCTCCAGGGTACGAGCGAGAGAGGGAGGACGAAGGCAGGGATGGGGAGACACGAGCAGGGGTGTCTAGGGACGGAAGGGACGCGGGTGGAGCTGCGGGAGAGAGGTGAGGGGCGTGGAAGGCACGTGGTCCCGGGCCTCCCACGCTGACCCCATCCTGTCCCGCGGGCGCCCGCAGGGCATGTACAGCTGCTGCAGCGCCGAGGCCGC